ACCTCGTGACGCACTTGTGACAGACCATGGAGAGGCTCGAGCGACAACGTCNCCGGGCACTCGATCCCACACGGACACGCGCGCGCCCCTCCCCTTTGCCCAGTCCCTCTACTTGCTGCGCTGTAGCACGATGATTTTACTCATGATGCGTCAGGACACACAGCCGTGCGTGACTGCCGGATTCACACGCAACGCCGTAAGCAGTATGACCCCGCCCACCACCTTCTTCTCCCTCCTTTTCTTTGCCGCGTGACGGACTTTTGCACGCACGCTTGCGCGTCGGCGTGGCGCCACGAGGTCGAAGTGTACCCCGCACGCCCATCAGTGGCGCGCCGGGGAATGGAACTGACCGAGAGCACGTGGCGTTGGGGATGCCGAGTGGGCGCCGATGATGACGCTGACCCTGCTCCGCTACTGACGCTGTGACGGTGATACGAGACTCTTCAGGGCTTCTGACGTGCGCCTTCGCTGCGCTTTCCCTGTACCTTCTTTTGCTGTTGCTTTGTTGGCGCTGCTGGGTGTTTTTCTTTTTTGTTTGTAAGCCTTATTCGCTTCCTTCTAATGGTATTTTTTTGTTACCTTGAAGGTTAGTATAATGAGGCGAGAGCTTTTGGTTTTGCTTACGTGTGCTTAGTTTTTTTTTTTTTGCTCCTAGTTGTTCTGGACTGTTTTTTTTGTGTCTTTTTGTTGTTCTCCGTTTTTTTTTATTTCCTTCTTCTTCGTCTTCTGCGTGTGTGTTTCCTTTTGTGTTTGTTTTGGCTGTGGTTTTTTTTCTCTGTACGACGATAGTTGGACCTGAGTGATATTTCTGCTAGTCATGAAGTACGTTGGTGCGCTTGATCAGGGCACAACGTCGACCCGCTTCATTATTTTTGACGAGAGGCAGCGCATGGTTGCGCGGCATCAGATTCCGCTTACCCAGTTGACGCCGCGGGCGGGCTGGGTTGAGCATGACCCAATGGAGCTCTTTCACGCCAGCTGCACGTGCATCGCCGCTGCGATGGAGGGTTTGCGGAGGAAGGTGCCTTCTTTTCTGAAACTCGAGGCCATCGGTATTACGAACCAGCGTCAGACGACGGTAGCATGGGATCGTGTGACGCAGAAGCCTTTGTGTGATGCGATTGTGTGGAATGACCTGCGCACGTATGAAGTGACTTCGCGTGTGTTAAAGGGGGTGGGTGGTGGCGATCCCTTGTTTGCCGCCAAAACGAACGGCTTGCGGGTAAGCACGTTTTTTTCTGCCTTCAAGATGCGCTGGATGCTCGACAACGTTGCGAATGTGGCCGAGGCGCGTCGGCGTGGCACTCTCTGCTTTGGAACCGTGGACTCTTGGTTGCTCTGGAACCTGAGTGGAGGGAAGGTGTTCGCGACGGATGTGGCAAATGCGTCATGCACGTTTTTGATGGATATACGCACGTGCAAGTGGTCCGCTGAGCTTTGCCACAAACTTGGCATTCCTATGCAATGCCTGCCTGAGATTCGGAGCAACAGCGAGCTCTTTACCTATGTTGCCGAAGAGGTCGGCCTAACGGCGGCGCTGCAACACCCAACGCCAATCATGGGGTGCATAGGTGATCAGCAGGGTGCGTTGCTTGGGAACATGTGCTTCAAAAAAGGCGAAGCAAAGAATACGTACGGCACAGGCTGCTTTCTGCTTATGAATGTGGGGGAGGAGGTGCGTTTTTCAAACAACGGTCTTCTCTCCGTTGTTGCCTATCAGCTTGGCAACAAGTCTCCGTTCACTTACGCCCTCGAAGGCTCCATTGCCGGAGCTGGCTCGACGATTGAATGGTTTAAGGATAATATGAGGCTCATCAAAGACGTCTCAGAATGTGAACGTTTGGCCCAAAGTGTCTCTGACACGCAAGGTGTCATGCTCGTGCCTGCGTTTTCCGGTTTTCTGGCACCCAAGTGGGACCCTACTGCCCGTGGAACAATTGTGGGCATAACACTGAAGACAACCCGCGCCCACATCTTGCGCGCCGCGCTACTTGCCATTGCCCTCCAAGTCCTCGATGTTTTGGAGGCAATTGAGAAGGACGCGGAACTTCAGGTTCAGTTTCTTCGTGTGGATGGTGGACTAACTGCAAATCACCTTTTAATGGAGATGCAGTCAGACCTCCTGGGGATCGAACTTCGCATCCCGACGATGGCCGAGACCACGGCACTCGGTGCGGCTCTGTGCGCCGGCCTGGCGGCAGGCGTCTGGAAGTCGCTGGATGAGGCAAAAGCGGTATCGGAAAAATCGACCGTTTTGCGTGTAATTAGGCCTGCTGTGTCTGCGGATTCCAAAAAAAGGTTAACGGAACAATGGAAGCGGGCACAGCGACGCGCCAAATGGGCCAAGTTGTAATTGGCCCCGTATCCTATTTGCTTTCGCGTCTCAAGTAGTTATTGAGAACAGTTCTTTTTTTTTTTTATTGTTATTATTATTTGATTCTTTTTTTATACTTCTGAGCCACGTCGTACAGAAAATATAAAAGGAAAAAAAAAGGTTACGTTTGTGTAGCTGTGACGTAAGTACTTTTGCCGTAAGATTGTTGTGTAGTGTGTGTAAGCAACGTTGCATGCTTTTTGTATGGCTCTAAATATATTCCTCCGTTGAGCTAGGCGAAAAAGAATGATGTCAGTTGCGTGGAAGGTCCACGCTGCGGGATTTGTAGCAAATTCAAAAAAAAAAAGGAGTCTTCGCTCGACTGCCTGCGTGCCTCACCGCCGCTGTTTCCCTTTCATTTCCTTTGCTGGGGGAACAATGCACTGATATGTACAAATACATGCGTTTTGCAGCTGATGCCCTTCTTCCCTCGGACCGTGGCATATATATATATATATCTCACTCTTTCGGGTAGTGAGCAGAAGAAAGAGAGATCGATAAAGGGAAACAGACACACGGGGTATCTAACGTGGGAAGAAGATGGCAAGTGCGCAAAGAGTGAAAAAGCGGAGGGTGGAAACGTACGCAGCTGAGGAGCTGCGTGAACATATGCGTTCCTCCTGGCCAAGCGGTGTGACAGGCGAAGGGGAGGGAGCAAGAGAGAATAACGCCGAACTGTGCGTTGAGCATGACGCGCCGCACAGGCACTGTGGACTGGAACGCTGGAGTGTGCAGGGGCGCTTCGGCGAAAATCGCCGCTTCGGTTTGTTTGCCTCATTTTTCCGTTACGCGGTGACGGGGGACGAGGAGCTGTCAGACGGGGAGGACTCCGTTGTCTACGCCGCGGCCGTGTCGTGGGTAATGGTGGACCATGAGACGAAGAAGTATTACCGATTTAGCGAGCTGGATCCTCGGGCACCGATCTTGGCGGCGTACCTTGCGGCCAACGAAAAACTTGCAGGTGACGAATACTTTCTTCAGGCCCTCTCCGAGCAGTTCGTCCAAGAACGGCTGCCGTTGCCCGATCGAGCGATGACAGAGCCGGCGTCCGTGCGTGCGGGTGCGCTGGAGCTGCGGTACGGGGAGAATCAGCTGGTCGTGATCCCGAGCAAAAAGAAGAGCAAAAAAAAGTCCCTCCTTGCTACAAACTTTCCCTCAGCGGCACGACCTTTGAGACAGGGGGTGCGGACCCGCAACAGGAGGTGAGGGTGGTGGTGGCGCTTGCCCTGCACCCGACACAGCCAGCCGTGTTGCATGGAAATCAAGGTGTGCTGGGACTCGAGGACGACTGGGGTCGTGACATGTTTCACTACGTGGTTCCCCACTGCACGGTGGCGGAGGGCACCATGCGCATAATGCGCGCCTCCGATGGCTTGGAGATCGCTCACTGTCCCGAGCTGAAGGGTGCGAAACTTTGGCTGGACCACACATTTGGCTGTGCCATACCCCGGAATACTGCGGAAACGAACTATTTGCAAAAACAACGCCAACAGTGCGCGCGTTTGCCCCATTTGTGGAACCGGTGTGCCATTCAATTGGACAACGAAACGGCAGACGCCATTGGCGTCGCTTGGGCGCTGGAACTTGCAAATTGGAAGCCTGTGAAGGCCTACGCGGTGATGCAGTGTGGCACCACAGGAATTAGTGAGCATCAACACGAGGAGGTCGAGCTGGTCGCGAACACCGCGTCACAGCACCGAAGCGACGCAACCGGCACTCTCTTTACCACACAATGGACGCTGAGTACCCCGTTCCGCGATGGCGCTAAGCTGGCGGTGACGCTCGATGTCACGTTTCCCCATCAAGAGTTCATAACCCTCACCGCACAGCCAAGCATTTGGTTGGGCAGCGTGCAGGTGTCAGGCAAGATAGTCGCCGCGGATGGTACTTCAACGGAGGTCACAGGCGAGGGTTTCTTGCAATCTCGGGGAAAGGATAGTTTCAACAACTTCAAACAGACACATGGCATGATGCGGGAGGTGAGTACGGCCAGAATGGAAGATCCGGCAGTCAGCTCTATGAAGTCATTGAGTGAAATTGTAGGGGGCCCAGCAGCCTCTGCCACGAGCACCGTCAAGACGTTAATGAACTTGCAAGGACAGTCCTTGTCGGACGCGCACCTTGTGATGCTGACTAGTCTTCTCGGTGCATACGGTCAAATCTTTCACCACCCCATGGCGAAGAAGGAGGTCCTCGAAGCACTTCAATGGTGTCATGGGAAATGGCTTGGCTACTTTGGAAGTACGCCCATTGACGTCAAGACGCTAATGTTGCGGTCGTTCATGTTGCGGGAGCTCTCCTTTGTGTTGCAGAGCCGTTGCGCCGCGTGGATTCCGGCGCACGTGCAGGTTATTGATCTCGTGATGGACCCACCAAGCCACATCGAGGCAGTGGTGCTGACTGACAAGTACGCGGAAGAGTTCGTCACTCCCTCCCCTGCGCAGTTTGGGGCGGGCACCAGTAAGTTGGATCTCTCACAGCTGAGAGCGGATTTTAGTGGAACATGGATATTAGATCTGGCGCGAGGCACAGCTAACCTCAACGTCTTTCTATCCGCCCAGGGTGTCCCCGTATTGTGGCGCAACTTTGTTGCCAATGCCTTCCCCGCACTGATCATCACTGTCGACGAGGACAAACAACTTGTGAAGATGCTTCTCCAGGCCTCGTTTTTGAGGAGGCGCGAGGCCATTCCGTTGGATGGATCATACCGGGAGGGCTACTGTGCGGCCCGCGGAGGCCTCCGCACGCGGGCCTGCGTCCTGCCCGGCGGCACCGGGCTTTGCGTGGAGACGGTTTTTTCGAGTCAAATGGTAGAGCGCAAGTGGTACACCGTTGAGGACGGTGGAAAGACGCTGGTGGAGGCGATGCGGGTCTATGAGGGCAAAGACGGTGGAGAGGCAAACGGTGATCCGTGCGTGCGACCACCCATTTCTGTTTGCGTGCGGTACTTCACGCTTTGCCTTGAGAAGTCTGGGGGTTGAGCTCTCTCGCCACTTCTGACAAAACAAGAGAAAGCGAGAAAACGAAAGTAATGTAAAAGCAAAAAAAAAAAAGAAAGAGGCGCGGTCGTCATGTAGATGTTGCCGCGGGGGAACATAAACCCCCCGAGTATTGTTTGTTTGTGTTTTTCGGTGGTTTTATTTTATTTTTTCCGTGTTTTTTTTATTCTATTTTTTTCTGCGTCGGTGTTTTTTTTTTTTGCCTGCGCGTTTTTCGTTGTGTTTTGCTCTGCCACTTCATTAATCTCCCTGCGCTCTTGCAATGCCTGCAGCAACACATGCAAAAGCACACACGCGACCACCAATCTGACTGTTCGGCGCTCTACCCAAAGAATAAGTTTTGCAAGACAGAGCACACAGCACAAGCTTCCAACAACAACAACAGCAGCAACAGCGGCAGCAGCAACAACAACACGGCGGCAACGACGCGGGCGTCGTTCAGGGCAGAAAGGGGGTCGGCAGAGATGTCCACAGTGGAGGCAGCTATCGCGACCCCCGCCTCCACCGCCGTTGACTCCAAGTTTCTTGACAAGCAAAGCCGCACGATTGGCACCTATGGCCTGGAGACAATGGTGAAGCTCATTTCCTTCAAGGTGCTCATCGTCGGCTGTGGTGGGGTTGGAATTGAGGCGGCAAAGAATCTCTCCATGGCTGGGGTTCATACAATCATCCTGTGTGACCCCGCAAAGGCTACGCCAAAAGATATGGGCGTTAACTTCGCCGTCACCGAGGCGGCACTGCGTGCTGGTCTCACCCGGGCCGAGGCGTCACAGCGAATGGTCGCCGAATTGAACCCGAACGTTCGTGTGCGAGTCGTGGATGCCCTCAGCGAGGCGGTGGTGGGTCAAGTCAATGCCCTCGTCTTCACCTCTGCTGCCCCTGAGTATTCCCTGAAGACCCTCACGAGATGGAATAAGTTTTGTCACTCCCATGCACCGCCCATCTCATTTATTTTTGTCTTTCAAGGTGGCACGCTCGGGTCCGTATTTGCCGATCACGGCGCCCGCTTTACTGTAAAGGACCCGGATGGTCGCCCAATGCTGCAGAAGTCCATTGTGGAGATTCTCACGAAGCAGGACAAGACAGGCACGCCCTACACGCGTATCCGCTACGAGACACCGGAGGGCCAAACCCCTGGCGCACTCCGAGACTACACCAAGGTCAAATTTACGGAGGTGCGGGGACTGCGCAAGGCGAATGGAGAAAGCGTCAACGAGTGCGTCTTCGACGGCGTGGTGTGCCCCAACGACCCCCACGACACGGTGCGCCTCTACCCTTCCCTCGAGAGCCAGGGCTACTCTGCGTATGAGACCGGTGGCTTCATACACGAACTGAAGGAAGTATTCCAACTTGAATTTAAAACGCTCGATGAGGCCGTTGTGCGCCCTGGTCAATTTGTTCCCGTCAGTCCTATGATGGATGGATCGGAGGAGTCGCAGTGGCATCTCTTCCTGCATGCGTTACTAAGATTTGTGGATAGACACAGGAGACCTCCGAAGCTACATGATGGAAAGGAAGCAGAAGAGGTGTTGTCTCTGGCCCATGCCATTAATGTGGAGAACAAGGCAGTTAAGGATAAACTTAAGATCACGGAGCACCCAATGTTTCTGGAACCAGAAAACGAGGAGTTCCCCGCACGTCTTGCACCCCCGCCGCCGCATGTGCCACTCTGTGTGGATCGCGTGGATGAGTCTTATATTCGTACCCAGGCGCTTGTCTCCGATACGAAGCTTCAACCACTGTGCGCCTTCTTTGGGGCCGTTGTGGCTCAAGAAATTGTGAAAATGACTGGTAAATACATGCCTATTTGCCAATGGTTTCACTTTAGCTCTTCCGCTATTCTTGCGAGCAGTGCATCTTACGTGGATTCAAATGACTACAAGCCAAGTAACTCGCGCTACGACCATCTTATTGCCCTACTTGGAAGAAAGTTTCAGGAGAAGCTTGGAAATCTTCGTGTGTTTATGGTTGGCTGTGGAGCACTGGGGTGTGAGAACATCAAAAACTTTGCCCTCTGTGGAGTGGCATGTGGGCCACGTGGTTCACTCCTCGTGACCGATAATGACCGTATCGAGGTATCGAACCTCAGTCGACAGTTTCTATTCCGCGAGGAAAACGTTGGGCAGCCCAAGTCCGTCGCAGCAGCAGCACGAATGCGCACCATGAACAAGGACGCCGCTGTCGATCCTCGCCAGGACTACGTCGGCGCAAGCACGGAGCACTTGTATCATGATGTCTTCTGGAGCGGGCTGGATGTTGTGGTGAATGCCCTGGACAACATGGAGGCACGCTTGTATGTGGACCAGCAATGCGTGAAGTTTCGCAAGATTCTTGTGGAGGCCGGAACGATGGGCACGGGCGGAAATGTTGATATCATCGTACCAGGCAAGACCACCTCCTACGCGGATGGTGGTGCAGCAGACGCCTCTGGTGGTATTCCCATGTGTACCTTGCGCAATTTCCCCTACATCTTTGACCACTGCATTGAGTGGGCCCGGGCCCAATTCGATGACCTTTTCGTTTCCCCAATGCAGGCTGTGGGACAGCTCTTAGAGGACCCCAGTGGCTTCAAAGAACGCATTGAACGAGAAGTTGCCGCTGCCCAAAGTCCAGGAGAACGACTCAGCCTGGTCGAAAAGCATCTTGGTATCTTGCATACGCTACAACGGGTGCTTGCTATCATTTCTGCCGGAGTTGACATGGAAAAATGCTTCCAATGTGCGTGGGAGGTGATGTTTCACCTGTTCCGGGATCGTATTATGGATCTGCAGCGCTCCTTCCCGCGTAATGCCAAGAAAAAGAACGGGGAAGACTTTTGGTCTGGTCATCGTAAATACCCAACGGCGTTGAACGTTGACCCGGCAAACATTGCGTCTAACAAGGACGCAGTCGAATTTCTCATTGCCGGTGCCAACTTGTTCGCATGTATGTACGGTGTGCACCCGCGCAAGCATGAGCCCCGCTTCAACGATGAAAATAATCGTTGGATGCGACAGTACCGCTCTATGGAGTGGCTAAATAAAATGCTTGCGAGACGTGCAGTGCCCGTGTACCACCCTGGCGCCGTGGATGGTCTCGAAGATGATCTCATGGACGCCGTGCAGGCGCACGCCGAGGGCGATACGGCGGGAACGAAGGAGCAGCAGCTGCAAGATGTGCTCTGCAATATCGTCAGTGTGGCGGAGCGTTGTCGCGAGACAAGGGCTGTCCCACTGGAGTTTGAAAAGGATGATGATGATAACTTTCATATTGATTTTGTGGCCGCCGCAAGCAATCTTCGTGCATCGAACTACGATATTCCGACACAGGATCGGATGAAGGTAAAACTTGTTGCAGGAAAGATTATTCCGGCCATTGCAACAACGACCGCGGCTGTTACGGGGCTCGCGCTTATCGAGTACTTTAAAGCCCTTCAAGAGAAGGACATTTCCTGCCTCCGCAATGGAATGATTGACGTGGGGACAAACTACTACGTTCTCTTTGAGCGCGACACCCCTATTAAGAACCGTACCAAGGTCATCAGCACATACCTCCCTGAGCAAGACTACACGTACAAGAAGAAGCTTATTCGCGTGCCAGACGGCTTCACGAAGTATGATACCATTGATGTTTCCCTGACGACAAGCACGACGGTGCAGGAATTTGTCACAATGCTCGAGGCACAACTGAATGCCGCCCTACCGCCAGGCACGGAAGGCGCGTGTGAGGTGATTGGTATCGGTGTTGGCAAAGGCATGCTGTGGAACGGGTCGAAGAGGCACGCAAACACAAACCTCCCGCTCATGCAATTGATTGAGCGACAGAAGTTGGCAGAGGCTGGCGGGAAACTCCCGCGGCCGTTTTGGCAGAACCGCACGCAGTTCTGTGAGCTTGCCGTAACGGTGTCTTTGGATGACGGGGACACAAGTGTGGATGAGACGGACGTGGAGACTGCCATGATCCGTCTCCGCATCACGCCGTAACGAACTTGAAGGACCGACAGAAGCTTCTGGTGTCACGGATAAGGATGAACGATGCGGCAGCGAAAAAGAAGGAATGAAAGAATGGAGAAAGGGGAGAAAGGGGAGAGAAGGGGGGGGAGCAATGCTAATTGGTGGGTGGAAAGAGGAGGACGAAGGGGCTGAGTAAGTGAAGAAAGGAGAAGGAGGAGGAGGGTGAATACGACGTTGAGCAGTGTAAGCCTGTTATTGGGGGAGGGGGAAAGCTAACGAATATAAAGGAAGAAAATGTTGGCTTTGTTATATTCTGAAAAATCCAGCGGGAATAGGTCTGGGGAGTAGCGGGTCCTTTTCATCGCAAAGGGTGGGCGCCGTCGGGCGAGGGCGAAGCGTGAGAGACGTTGTTCTTATTGCGGTTATTTGGGGAGGGGCGCGCGCCCTTGCCTTGATGTAGCTAGAGGCGGAACGACACAGTTACTTTCGCTTCTAAGCACTCCCTCCCTCTTCTGCCTGTTTTTGTCAATCTTCCACCTTTGTGCGTGGGCGTCATTCGCTTTGTTGGCTCTTGTTGATGCTCATTCGCCTGCATTTTCTGTCTTTCTTTCTTGTCAGCAAAAGGGTGGAAAAACGGTGCAGGCAAGCGTTGCCCACTCATTGTTCACCATGAGAAGAGTCCATCCCACTTCACTGTTACTGGCTGGGGTGAGTGTATTGGTGTCATTTCTGTGTGGAGCGTTTGGCAGAACCTTGGGGACAGTGGTGGTGACATGTGCTTAACGGTGCCCCTTGATAAAGGTGCTCCGAGGCTGTCACTTGGTTGTGTCAGACCTGCGGTTCTGGGGAGTTGTCATTTGTTTTGGCGCCGTCCTCTCAGAAGCTTCTCAAGCGGGGTGGAGGAAGGCTTGGGCGGAGTGGCAAAGTTCAGTAACAACGCCTTGTGTCTACCATTCTGCGAAGCGAAGTAAATGGTATCCCCGCTTAGGCATTGACGGCGTCAGCTACCGCGACACGCCTTCCTTCGTTTAGTTTGTGGGGGAGTTTAAAAAGGAACGGTGAGGATCTTACATGTGGCTCCCCAGTCCTCCATCTCTTCTTGTGTATCTCCCTTCTGGGTAGAGAATATACTCTGCTCTTTTGGTGCTTCCTTTTTCTTCCTTGAACTTTTTTGTATTGTTGTTGTTGTTTTTTTTTCTTCTTTTATTGTGCGGTCGCGAGACGCGTCGCCGTCTCTTCTCGGCAACAATTGCGAAAGTGTTGCGTGGGGGGCTACGGAGGCGGGGGGAAAAAGGTCCACGGCGTGCACCTCTTCTTTACGGGGCAATAGGCGAGCGAAACAGCATAGAGGCGGCAAACACACACACACACACATACACACACACAAAAGGGCATACGGGGGATCAGCACTGTATTCGTCCTCAACAGGCGCCACCCGCATTATTCCTGTTGTTCTTGCAGACATTGAGAGATAGATAGATATATATATTTATAGTCTTAGACGCCGGAGGTGTGGCGAGAAGAAATATATTATGGTGGCTACAATTACATTCAAACTTCGTTCCAGCAATCACGTTGGGATTATTGACGTTCCCCACCGCCTGATATCATGTCGTGAGATTAAGGAGGCGATTGCGACGCAGTTGAGCGGCTCCCCGGAAGAGATTGACATCTTCGTTTCAGGGAGCTCGGATTACTTGCACCCGGAGGAGGAGCTTCCCGCCTACACGGTGGTGGAGGTGGTGCGACATGTTGCCTCGGGAAGGCCTCCGCCAAGGCGCGAACGCGAAGCGCCTGCCAGTAACCCCCCAACTCAACGTGCACTGTCGAGGATGAGCACCAAAGAGGGGGAAGTCTCCGCCTCGTTGACTGAGGAAGAACGACTTGCGCAGCTAAGTGAGGCCGTGGCTGCGGAAACGGGCATTGATGAGGTAGGCAGCTGGCGAACACGTCAGACCCGCAATCGTCCCATGGGCGGGGCAATGGGAGGTCGCGAGGATACGTTTCGCCCACCACCGCCAGGGTACATTTGCCATAACTGCGGCAAGCGTGGGCACCTCATTCAGCACTGCCCGGCGGCAAAGGGGACGAAGGGACTGAAGGTGTTGTCCCTTCCAACTGGTATTCCGGAGACCATGTTGGTGGAGTGTACGATGGACGACCCAGCAGCGAAATTTGTCACACGCGATGGCCGTTTAGTGAAACGTCGGCTGGACAACTCGAGCTTCACCGGCGTTGTGACGACCGCCGCTGATCTGGCCGATGTTCCGCATGAGTCTGACACAAGTTTAAATAGCGGTGCGGGTGACCATAAGAAGAGCTCTGTCGACGGCGCTGATGCGAAGGCCAAAAAGGAGTCCAAATTTTTGTGTGGCTGGGACAAGGCACTGGCAAAGAATGCGATGAAAGCCCCTTGTTGTGCGACCCTGTTCTGTGAGACGTGTTTTAATGATAAGGTGGAGGAGTTGATTGGCCGCGACGACGCTGAAGGGGAGCCGCTTCTGTGTCCCGGCTGCAATAAACCTCTCTCTGTGTGCGACGTCGCTCCGGCGGTGGAGGAGCGAAAAATTATTGAATCCCTCCATTCCCGGAAGCGTGGAAGAGAGCTATGAGGAGGCTGGGGGAGGCACTGTAGGGCGGGAACTGGAACAAAAAGAGGTGAAATAAAGGAAACGAGGGAGAGAGCGTTTGCCGCGTGGGTGTGATGGTACCCCGCTGTTTGTTCAAAGTAGGGGTAGTAGCGAAAAACACACACAAAAAAGGGGGAAAAACACAGGAGGTAAGCAACGATTAACTTGGGTCTGTTTCTCCCCAGCAGAACAGCTTTATTTTGTCCCTTATACATTCTCTTGCGAGCTCATACGAGACGTTTATTTTGCCACCACTGTGGGGTGGCTGTGTCTACTCACGTGGGGGTGCTACTATCCCGCTCTCGTTGTTTGTCTCCGCTTTTTTTTATTTATTTGCTTTATTGGCCCCTTTTCTCTCGGTGCTACTCGTGCCAAGGTGCGGATCGCCGACACTTGTAGCAGCAGACGGAATATTGTGGGGAACAAAAAAAAGGTTCCTTTTACATCAAATAGTTGTTCCTGTTGTTTTTTTATTTGTTTTTTGTCAGTTGGGGTTGAGCCGCGCGCACATCACAGATGACGAGCGTCCTCACGTATGGCGCGGTGGGGAAGAACCCCATGGCGCAGAAGTATGGCCAGATGGCGGCCGCCGCCTCTCTTTGTGGTACAAAGAATTTTGTGTACACCAAGTGTCACGATGACCCCCACGCCTTTCCGCGTCATCACCACCGCCAGAGTGATGTGCCCTGGAAAGACTCCTTCACGTGGAATAGGTTCCGCTGGTGGATTCATGACCTCCGCATGTTTGGACTTTGGGGTGCATTCCGACGGCATTACTACATTGGCGAACCTTGGCGCCGGAAGGATGAAAAGATTTTTGTCGGCAAGGATGAGAACGGAAACAAGTACTGGCTTACACGCCGCAGCCAGGGCGGCTTCACCGTCCGCATGGTAGAACCCGTGGATCCCCACTGGTTTCGTGGGCAGGCTCCACACACGGCCTCACCTATGTGGCTGAAATGGTTGCAAGGCAACGCCGCCCACACCCCGGCCCAAGTCAAGGCGAGAGGAGAATGGGGTCACAACTCCCGACTCGGCATGCCGCTGCCGTTCAATGTTAAGTACGATGAGTTTTCCCCCATCAATGCTGGTGAAATCTTCTCACGTGACCCCATGTGGGTGTCTGCGCCTGGCTTGCTAGTAAACCCAGAGCGACGTGCTTTAGAGGAGGCTGGTTACTCCCGTTGGGTGATTAACAAGGGAATGCCATTGTATATGCCTTTCTGTGGTGTACACGATTACCCAGATGAACTTGTAGAAGAATATTATAGGGGACAATGGGCCTTTGGGCGCGCCAGCAAAGGCAACGATCATGATGAATGGAGAAACTAGCCAAGAACAAAGTTGAGTTTATGCAACTATTTTGTATATTTCTCTCTGTGTGTGCGTGTTTCTCCGCCTCTCCCTGAAGTTGCCAATGTAGGTATGTGGGTTTTGGTTTAGAAGCAGAGACGTCTCTGGGTATCGGCTGGGTTTATTTGAGGGAAAAAGTTTCTGGGAATTTATTAGGGAGTTCTAGCAGTGTATGCGTGTAGTGGTCATGGCGTTGCTCCTCTGGACATATTTACGTGTATTTTGTGTCTTATGCGAATGCTTAACCCCAATTGACATGGCGTCACGGGCAGTAGTTAGTCGTGGCTACCGCTGGAAGGACGGTAGTAGCAGCCGTCGAGGTGTAGTGGTTGTTTGTCTCCTTGGTGTTTGCTTTTGGCGCATTGTACGTAGATTTCTGCCTTTCCTTGACGTCTGATCGTCATCGGTTGATTGTGGTTGCTATCAGAACCTGGTGTTGTCGTCTCTGTGAGAATTGGTGTTCTCTTCATTCCCTTTGTATCGTTTTTTTGGTTCAACAAGTGGGGTGTCCTTTTCCTTATGGGTTTTTTATTGCTTTGTCCCACCCTCCTCTTTCACTAGAATCAAGCGTAAGAGACTCCCCACGTGAGGCACCAAAAGATGAAACCTGAATGGGAAGCAGAGCACAAACTGGTGCGTGAGGTTGTCCTAGTTGCGTTTAGTCTCGGGGCCTGCTTTATGTTTGCGCTTGCGTTAATCTGCCACAGCCTTTGGTACACTGCAAGTGTCGAGGAATACGCAGCCGGTGTTTACATTTTGTGTATACCGGTGCTTTTTCACATGAGCGAGTTCCTAGTGGCGGCGTCCTTGGGTCGGCATGACACCCACCCAGATGCCTTCTTGCTGTTCAACTCAAAGGCGTACACGGCGGCCATCTCTGCGGCGTGGATAGAGTTCTTTGTAGAGTGGCTTCTCGTCCCGGAATGCTGGAAGGTGTCCAGAGATTCTTTTGCGGGTTGGTTCCTGCGCCTGAACTACACCAGCGTTACCCTGGTGGCCATGTTGTCTGTGGCTTTCTACCTCGTGCGTGTGGTTGGGATGCTGCAGTGTGGGCTAAACTTCTCACTGCTGATTGAGACAGAGCGGCGCGGCGGTCATATCCTCGTCGAGGATGGAATTTACGCTGTGCTGCGTCATCCAGCCTACTTTGGTTTCTTTTGGCGAACCCTTCTCTCACAGCTGGTGCTGGCAAACCCGTTGTGTTTTGTTATATACGCCGGCGTCATGTGGGATTTTTTTCGCAAGCGGATCGCCTACGAGGAAGCCCTGCTGGAAAGTGGGAAATTCTTTGGCAAGCGATACACGGCGTATAAAGCGAAAACGGTGGTGGGCATTCCCTTGATTCACTGAGAAGGCCATGGCTTGCTATCTGCGTGTGTGCGTCTCACGGTGCTCATTTATAGCGAAGAAAAAATTAAAGAAAAGAAAAGGAAGAAAGCAAACAAAAAAAGAAAACAGAAGCAGGAAAGTGACGGAACACATGTTTTCCTTCTTCCAGTATGATTTTCCGGCCGTTTTTT